TTCATCTCTCTCAGCTCCCTGGAGAACCAGGGAGCCAGTCGAGACCTACGCCGGGTCAGAGGCCGCAGAGGCACGACTCGGTCCAATGCAGCGGCGGCAGTTGACTCCCAAGCCGCCGTCTGATTTTCCACCGAGTCATGGACCAGATCCTCCGGATAAGGCCCAAGCTCCGTCAGGAACCTCTCTGGGTCCATCAGTCAAGGTCCCTTCCAACTTTACTATTATTATTATTATTATTAACTTCTTTGAATTTTGGCAGCTTGAAAGATTGTTGTGGGTTTGGACCCATGTCTTTTATTTATTTTGAATATAATAGTTTGCATTTCTACATATAGCATATAAAGGTGAAGACAAAGGCTTCCCCTGCTCAGTTGTGTCTGACTTCGGAGGTGGTGTTCATTCCATTTCTTAACCAAGGGAGCTGACAAGCTCCGCATCTTTAACCACTGAGCCATCGTGCCAACCACAGTTGACAACCACATTTTTTTAATTAGCCTTTGCTGGCATCTTCCAATTTAATCAGTGAAACATAACTCTTCATCAAGAAATAGATGATTACTAATGTTACGTTTCTATTTTCCTAAAAATTAATTGAAAAATCTTTTTTCTTTACAATTAAACATTCAAATAGAAGTGCACCTGATTTTCTTTCCAACAGGAAAATGGCTTTTCCATCTACTTTACTTACTAGTGATTATCCCATTAATGCTGATGTGTATGTGCTCCAGGAAAAGTAATCGGTAAGTGCACAGCAAAAAAAAAAAATCAACAGTAATAAGAAGCAGCAGACATAAATATCACAGCAGTAGAGACAAAGCATAGCTCCTTAACTCATTCTTTCCATCAGTCTTCACACAAAAAGAAACTATAGCCCAACTTATCAAAAACATAACTGTAAAAGACAGACTAGAAATAAAAATTAAAATAAACAAGAAAATGGCAAGAGAACACCTGTCTGATCATGATGAATATCAATCACTGGGACCTGATAGATCACTGGGACCTGATAGATCCCAAAGTTCTAAAGGAGCTGGCAAATGTTGTCTCAGAACCATTGTACCATATCTTTTAAAAATCCTGGAACACTGGGGTATTACCTGAGGATTGGAAAAGAGCTGATGTGGTTCCCATCTTCAAAAAAAGAAAAAAACAACAGACCCAGGAATCTATAGATTAATCAGCCTAACCTCAATACCTGGGAAGATATTGGAAAAGATAATAAAAAAAACAGATCTGCGAACATCTAGAAACAAATAAAGTTATAACTAGTAGCTAGCACGGGTTTGTCAAATACAGATCACGCCAAACCAATCTTACTTCATTCTTTGACAAAGTGACTAAATTAGTAGAGCAGCAAAATGCTGTGGACATAATATACTTAGATTTCAATAGGGCATTGGACAAAGTAGGCAACAACCTACTTCTTGGCAAACTAGAAAAATGTGGGATAGATCATAGACAGCATCACCACCAGATAGATTTGTAACTGGCTGATAAACCATACTCAACAAGTAGTCCTTAATGGTACTACATCTACATGGAGAAAAGTAAGCAGTGGGGCATCACAAGGTTTCTTGTCAGGCCCAGTACTCTTCAATATCTTCATAAATGACTTAGATGAAGGAATAGAAGGGGAACTCATCAAATTTGCAGATGACACTAAGCTGGAAGGAATAGTCACACCCCAGAAGACAAGCTCAGGATCCAAAAAGGTCTTGACAGATGTGAACAATGGGCCTTATCAAACAAAATGAAATTTAATGTGGAGAAAAGCATGCTTTACACTTAGGCAGGAAAAACCAAAGGTACAAGTACAGATTAGGCAAAACCTGGCTCAAAAATAGTAACTGTGGGAGGGACCTTAGAGTCCTAGTGGACAATTACTTAAATATGAGCCAGCAGCATGCAGCAGCAACCAAAAAAGCTAATACAATCATTAGTTGTATAAATAGAGGCATAGAATCAAAATCACATGAAGTATTAGTACCATTTTATAAAGTCTTAGTAAGACCATACCTGGAATACTGCATCCAATTTTTGTGACCATATTACAAAAAGATGTTGAGACTTTGGAAAAAGTGCAAAAAAGAGCAACTAAGATGATTAAAGGCCTGGAAATTAAAACAGATGAAGAATGGTTGCAGGATTTGGGTATGGCTAGTCTAGAGAAAAGAAGGACTAGGGGTGACATAATAGCAGTATCCCAGGATTTGAGGGGCTACATCAAAGAAGAGGGAATCA